GCAGGCAAGGGGGCGGGCAGGGCACAGGCAGGGTGCAGGCAGGGGTGCCAGCAGGGTGCAGGCGCTGCCATCGCTGCGCTCCCCAGCTTTATTTTGGATGGCAAAGCAGGGACATGCAAGGGCAGAGGATGAGCCTCAGGGGTGCAGGGGCTGCGAAATGATGGAGTGCTCGGCTGGAGGGTCTGGGGCCATCCCTCGTGTCCGTGCTGGGCTCCAGGGGACATGGAAAAGCAGGATGGGTCCTTGTTGGTGCTGGCTGCTTCGAGCCCCGTCCGTCTCCAGACACAATGCCGGAGGCGCTGCTCAGGGATGCTCTGTGCAGGGTGCAGGGATGCTCCCCAGCACCGTCACCCATCAATGCGGGGATACGGAGGGGACATCCAGCCCCTGTCCTGTCCCCAACCCCATCCCCAAGGGCTCAGCCCCGGTGCCGCACCGAGAGCGTGAGGGAATGTGTCGTGGGAACGGCACTGGGGGAAGAAAACCGAAAGGGAAGAGAAAGTGGGGAAACAAGAAGAAGAGCCAAAGGGAGATGTCCCGGCGTGTGCTCAGCAACTATCCCTTGGGCCATTGACCCCACCCCATCACCCCCCTGGGACTGGGAAGGTCCCTCTGAAGCCCAGAGGGTTTTTTTGAAATCTTTATTTTAGATATTTCTGGGAAGAAAAGCAATTTGGGTCCCAACCTCTTCTGTGGAGCAGCAAGAGCGGTAGCAAAGCCCAAAGCGGAGCTTTTCTGCATCTGCTGCCGAGCTGGGATGGGATCAGGGGGAGATGTTGCTGATTTTACTGGATACTTTTTTTTACTCAAAAAGCAACAGCTTTTTGAGCCCAGTTGAGCAGGAAACACTCATCCAGCGCAGGGTGATGCTGGACAGCTGCAAGCACAGCTGCGGGCTGGCATCGCTCAGGCATGTCACATCCATGATATTGCCTGCGGGGACGGCTTCGCCGGCGTGACTGGAGACAGGAGAGAGTGAGTAAGGATGTTGTGGCTGTCCTCGCTTCGGCCAGCCCTTGCAGCCCGCATGAGGACCTGACTAAAAGCGAGCCGGACAGGGGACTGTTGTGCAAAGGATGTGGGTTGCTGCAAGATCCTCCCAAGATGCTGCTGCAAAGGAAAGAAAAAAAACCAAAACCCCGTGTGAAAACACATATGAACTCACGTGCATGTGCCCGATGGCGTGGCTGGACCCACTGCTGGCCTGTGTTGGAGGTGATGGTGCCCAGCTGCCTTGCTCAGGGCCAAGGTCAGACCCCGGCATCCCACTGCTACCGCAGCAACGCTCCATCGCGGCCACGGGCACATGGAGCCACTTTCCTCATTCCCTTGAAGAAACCTGGAAAACAGTCTGCTGCCAGCAAAACCCTTCGGACGTACCCGAAAGCTCCAGGTTACATTGCCCATATTTTTAGGCCAGTGACTCAGGAGAGTCGACAGAGCTGGAATGGCAGCCCAGCTGCTGCGCGAACGGTGGTGCAAATCAGGGAATCATGAAATAATGGTTTGGGTTGGAAGGGACCCTAAAGATCATCCAGTTCCAAACCCCCTGCTATGGGCCGGGACACCTTCCACTACACCAGGTTGCTCAAAGCCTTATACAATCGGACCTTGAACCCTTCCAGGGATGGGGCAGCCACAACTTCTCTGGGCAACCTGTGCCAGTGCCTCACCACCCTCAGAGGGAAGAACTTCTGCCTTTTTAGACAAAGCCCCTCTCCAGCTTTCCTGTAGCCCCTTTAGGTACTGGAAGGCTGCTGGAAGGTCTCCCTGGAGCCTACTCTTCTCCAGGCTGAACAGCCCCAACTCTCTCAGCCTGTCTCCATAGCAGAGGTGCTCCAGCACTCGCATCATCTTTGTGGCCTCCTCTGGACCCACTCCAACAGCTCCATGTCCTTCTGATGTGATCTTGAAGGTCCCTTCTAACCCAAACCATTCCGTGGCTCTGTGATTCTTTCCATGTTGCAGACCCGGAGTGACACACGTGAGACCTGAAACAGTCCCAGTTTGCAAACAGCTTCTCAGCTGTTTAATCAGTAACTTGAGGGCTGAGCTCAGCTCCAGCTCAGAAGCAGCCTAATGGATGAACTTCCACATTTTGACTGTTTTTTGTTTTTTTTTTATTATCTCTCACCCCAAAAAATCCATTTTGCAGCAGCTCTTTGCAAACCTGAATTTGTCCGGTGCATCTGCCTGTGCCACCTGGATGTTTTTGCTGGCTCCGGCTCTGTGCAAAGCTCCATGTTTTCCTGGGAAGCCGGTGGCCGGGCTGAGACAAACATCTTTGCTCTTAGGAGGTAATGTGAGCTGAGTTTGCCGGGCCTCAGCCCGTACATGTTCAGAGAGGTGAAGAAAGCCCTGTTTCCATCTGAAGAGGAAAAGTTGGGATCCGTTTGGATAATTCAAGACCCACATAACCCTGTTAGACTCTTTTTCTCAGCAAAAGGAGAACTTGAGCCGCATCCCTTCTGGCTCAAATGGCTTTTTTGAGCAGGCTTCTGGGTTTTATCACCTCTAAAAATAAACAAGCAAATCGATACAAGTCGGTGTCACCCTTCCCAGGGAGCGGGAACTTGGCTTGTTCGCCACGGTTTGCTTTTTATTGTTTTTTTTTTGCAAAGCTACCTGCTAAATCCAGCTCAGGTGGGAGGTAATGTGGAACTGCCCGTCCTGGGGAGCCGCAGCCTGAAACCTTCACCTGGGTTTCATGGGGGGGAGGAGGGGGGGGAGGGGAGACAAAATGGTGAGTGCGCTGGGGACACAGAAGTGTTGCTGTGAGGGTGACAAGGACATGGAGATACTGCTCTGGAGATGATGGAGGCACAGAGATTTGGCTCTGGAGGTGATGGGGACACAGATGTATTGCTCTGGAGGTGAGAAGGACACAGAGGTGTTGCTTTGGAAGTGACAAGGACATGGAGATATTGCTCCAGAGATGATGGGGACACAGAGCTATCACTCTGGAGGTGACAAGGACCCAAGACTCTGCTCGGAGCTGGGTTTGGTGTCCCAGTGGTACCCGGTGGCCGTGCACAGCTGGGAGTGTCCGACAGGATGGAGGACACCCTTTGTCCTCTTCTATTTTCTCTTTCCATCTCCGTCTCCATTCATCTCCATCTCTCCATCCCTTCCCTCCTTCCCTTCTGGGGTGCCCCGCTGTCCCCATCCCACCCCTGCCTCTCCCATCCCCCTGACCCCCTTCCCACCCCTCAGGGTGACCCTCCCCACC